TTAACATTAATTTGCTTGTCTTAACAGGATAATGAAATAACATATACATAGTCGAAATCTGAATTCAAAGAGGATAAAAACCACAGGAACGTAACCCGTGGTGGTTACTGTTAATCACTTCAGTCTCGAACAAGTGTATAGACAAGTTGTATGGTCGCCATCTTGATCTCCTGGAGAAATGTGCTTTTTCTTTGTTTGATGTGAGGGTCATTTTCCTGATATGCTCTGTATTGTGGTGTGTGTGGGTTTCGTTTTTACCATCATATTTCTCGTTATGAGGACAGGACATTTCTTTGATTTGACCTAGATTTACATAGCAAGTGTCATTGATTTGACCTAGATTTACATAGCAAGTGTCATCGATGAGGCAGAAACAGTCTTACCCTTCCGGAACACCTGGTCGTATCCCTCTTGTACATTAACAAGGCTTTCCATGTAAATCTTTCCTTTGTTCATACCTTGCCCTAGTTTTATCGATTTTGAAATATTGAACTTGTGAATTTTCCTCTGACACTATAACAAGTTTAAAGATTGGTTCCTGGTCCATATATATCTGCATAATAAATGTGTTCATATATGAAAAATTGTAGTTCAGTATTTTGTCAACGAAATGTATTTATATTGTAGCGGTGATCACTGTTAAACTGTCAAAACTCTGCCAATTGGAGTGAAGTCACGTTATATATTTCTTGTTATTGATTGATTTGTCTAGAAATGTTCACGAGATGTTCGAATTAAAAATAGATATCTCGTGAAATGTAAGTGATTAGGAACTTTAAAATGTTGAATTCAAAAGGCTTATAGATAAAACGGACATGTCTATCCAATCATTCATTGAGTTTTATATTTAGCTGTGCCTATACTGATGAGCGAAAAGCTACGTCGTGTTATTGGGGAATTATCGAGTTTGGTAGTGAGGTGACTGTATTGCTGTCATGCTGTATGTGAATATCATAGAGTTTAGTATGAAGGTGGCTATCATTACCATACTGTATGTTGGTTGGTAATGACAAATCAGTTCCCAATGGTTACAGTTTTAGAAGTGGTACGGGGATCAACGATAAAATACAAAAAGAATCCAATAAAAGTTAGCCTGTTAAAACACCCTTCCATATAATTCAACAAATGTTTTAGACGAACACATCGATTTTCACTCGATATTGACTTTTTCAACTTTACCACGAATTAAATCACAAATAATTTCCTTTCATCATTTGTGACATTCAAACCATCCATGCTTATTGAGTTTAAAGGAAACGTTTGACTCGCTTTTCCGGGGCCTGATCTTAAAATAATGACATGTTTGAGAGATTTGTCCTCTTAATTCATTATTCCTGAGCCTTTTCTGTATTATGGTATTCTGGAGAGATATGTCCTTTGGTAGTTGATTCACGTGTTGCTGAACCTGTTCTAAGTACTATGATATTTTGGAGAGATATGTCCTTTGGTAGTTGATTCACGTGTTGCTGAACCTGTTCTGAGTACTATGATATTTTGGAGAGATATGTCCTTTGGAAGTTGATTCACGTGTTGCTGAACCTGTTCTGAGTACTATGATATTTTGGAGAGGTATGTCCTTTGGTAGTTGATTCACGTTTTGCGGAGCCTGTTCTAAGAACGATGATATTTTGGATGGATGTGTCCTGTAGAAGTTAATTCACGTTTTGCTGAGCCTGTTCTAAGTACGATGATATTTTGGATGGGTGTGTCCTGAAGAAGTTGATTTACGTTTTGCTGAGCCTGTTCTAAGTACGATGATATTTTGGATGGATGTGTCCTGTAGAAGTTGATTCACGTTTTGCTGAGCCTGTTCTAAGTACGAGGATATTTTGGATGGATGTGTCCTGTAGAAGTTGATTCACGTTTTACTGAGCCTGTTCTAAGTACGATGATATTTTGGATGGATGTGTCCTGTAGAAGTTGATTCACGTTTTGCTGAGCCTGTTCTAAGAACGATGATATTTTGGATGGATGTGTCCTGTAGAAGTCGATTCACGTTTTACTGAGCCTGTTCTAAGAACGATGATATTTTGGATGGGTGTGTCCTGTAGAAGTTGATTCACGTTTTGCGGAGCCTGTTCTAAGTACGATGATATTTTGGATGGAAGTGTCCTGTAGTAGTTAATTCACGTTTTGCTGAACCTGTTCTTCTGAAGAGATGTCCTTAATTGTTGATTCGCTTTTCCTCGGTACAGTTTGTTGAAAGCACAATAAAGGCCAAAATGAAATATAATAAGGATGAAATTGTGAGAATGATTGAGTTTCTGGTTAACAATATCTTTGTTGGGTTCGGATGATTTTTCAGCAGATTGTAGGCATTTCTATAGGACCTTGACATCATGAACACTACAGACTCGTTTACTTTAGTACTTTATTTAGAGGGGAAATTTCGATGTTCTGGTCGTGAACTTTTCCTTTCTTGACAGCAACATCCATGTTCCTCAAACTGTCTGTGTTAACATGTTCCAGTTGATTTGGTATTCAGGATTCGCTCCGAATATCATGACTTCCGCGATAGATGTTGACTGCTGACGGACAAACTAACAACACAAGGTTTACAATGATACAGGTCGATGAAGGCTATGGACGAGTTTTATGGAAGGATCTTGCAGAGTAATATGCTATGTTTCGTGAGATATGAAGGTCGATGTTTTAATGTAACCTGCGGTTTTGTTGTCACTACCTGGGTTCTCAGTGTGAGGACGTGACGTCACTACCTGAGTTCTCAGTGTGAGGACGTGACGTCACTACCTGAGTTCTCCGTGTGAGGACATGACATTTCTTTAATTTGATCTAGATGAGTATACACGGCGGACGCCGTCCATTTAGCAGAAAGTGCTTCCGACACGCTTGATTTTATTCTCCTTGTATTTTATCAGGGTTCTCCGTGTAAATCTTTTATTTTGTTCATAGTTTGAGCTAGAATTATTGATTGATGGACATTTCGGTATCCTTTGTGTTTTCCCTCGAGACGTTTTGCCGGGTGCCACATGTAGTGCTGGTTACTGGTTTGTTGTAGTGGTTCAGTTAGTGTTATGGTTCTCTTCAGTTCCTGTTGTCCGTCCTAGTAGATTTTTAATACCCTGTAGTATCTATTTTCTGCATTAATTCCTACTTTATTCCATGCCGTTCTGAGACAGGAGAGTGTTGAAACGATGTACGTTTAACAGGAGAGGAATTGTGAAATCTCTGTGATATAAATAAAAAAAACTCAAGAGTGTTGACAAATCTATTTAAAAAAAGATGGAGGCTAGAAATTCAAGCTTTACTTTTAATTCCAGAATTCAATTTATCAAGTCGTATTTGCCTTTTTACACCTTCAGTGCCAATGATAAAAGGCAGGTAGTTGTAACAGTGAGTGAGAATGTAAGAGGGCCGCAGATTTTTCACTCGGTATATACAGTGTTATGTGGATATTGAACGAGATTGCATCTACAGACTTGAGATAATCGGATAAGCAGTGTCTCGCCCAGGTGAGAAAGTCAAGAGTTAACCTCAGGTCCATAAACACACTATATGTATATCGAAGTTCATTTACTGAGGCTAAGGTAACGTCCTACTGTCGTCTGTACAGAGGATTAAGAAATAGCGTCATGTTTTTAATACAAACTACGTCAGCATTATAAATACTATACAGCACACAGGTGAGCGATCGTGTAAATGACAGGTCGAGTCTACCTGCGACAGTGGGCGTGGTTAGGCTGCTGTTATCGCGAGCCTTAACTCCGCCCAAGCTATTCCAATTATTGGCTTCACTCTCGTCTTTTCTATAAGAGCGTTGTGAGTAAGTTACTATTTTCATCCTCAAACAACATTTGTTGCTTTCTTGGCAAGGTTCCAGCGCGTTGCAGACATAACAGCCCTCGGCATATAATTCAATATATCGCGAGGAGTAAGCTCGTGTACACTAGCAGTGGCTGTACCACTGACCCATTGACGGATTGCTAATGTCATCAACCCGCAACATAACGCATAGTTAGTTTACAGCAAGCTCTGCGTCCTCATGGGGATGCGTTTATAGATAATTATTTTTCTTCTTTTGTCAATTTTGATAGCTTGCAATGATCTCGGATTAAACATGCAGGAATTTTGGTGTGTAATTCATCACACAAGACGTGTATGATGACAACCAAGGCTGTATGTTCTGTGCCATTTTTATTCAAAGCTGATCAATTCCTAACTTAATATCTAAAACAGCCAGATGAGAATCCCAGGTAATAAATCTATAGATAAGTAAAAATAGATGAATTGTACAAACACGCGCTTGTTTTTGTAGACCTAAACCTTCAGTTTTCCAAAAACGTCTATTTCAGATAAAAGATTCAAAATTGATAGTTGATGTTGGAGAGTGAAATGTTTTATCTATACTTTTAATGTGTAGGTCTAATACCGGACACATACAGATGCTATTGGGTTATTGTAACATGTGTCACGTTCTTCAACTTCTTCCTGACTAGTAAATATTGATGATAACTTGTTGGCTGTATGGTGAGACTGCTCTCACGAATTCAATGTACATGTATTAGGCGTAGATTTATCGTCATGGTCGAACGACTTTCACAAATAGACACTGATGCATTTATTAGATGTAATTCCATGGTCGAACAATTATCACGGGTACCGATACGTCTGCCGACCGGCTTCGGGCGAGCTTCTACGTAGTATGGTAGATGTGACGGCATGGTCGAATGACTCCCACGGGAGTTCTACATGGTCGATTGACTCGCGTGAACCATGCTCAGTGGTAGATTCAATATTACTCCAAATTCTATTTACTGCTATTTGGAAAACCGTTCTACGTTTGGGTCTTTAAATACACATTCTCTTATCTATACTTGTGCACATTGTTGTAATTAACTTTCATGAAACGTCTTTAAATCGCTGATTATGTATACACGTATATTTCTAAAAACCGTTCAAACAAAACATGAGAAACACATACATCAAGGCAATATACATTTATTCATTATTCGTCACCTTCATTTTTGTCTTTTCGTTCTTTTTACATTTTTTTCTTTCTTTTCAATATAAAACATCTCCTCAACTTTTCTTACAAAAATAAATTGATTGCATGATCATGGGGTGGACCTGTCGGTCACCAACACCAATACTTCACTGAACAATGAAAACATAAGCACTTTGGGGAAAAAGTTGTTAAGACTCTCGTAGATGTTTGTAAACCAAGATTTAAATAAATAATAAAAAAGATATTCTGGTTAAAGGTTGAAAAAACCCAACATTGTAATAGACAGGATATAATTGAGCAAAAAAGGAATAGAAGAAACGTCCAATGAACAGATGTAGGTTAGTTAGAAGGGTCAGAAGAGGCACGTTGTATAGTGACAGTAGAAGATTGAAACCCACGTCCACATATATACAAAACAATGATGAATGGAATAGCACGTGCTCAACAAATTGACCTATTCAAAATTGATTACTACCTATATTCTATCTATTGTATTCAACAATGTATCGGATGCCTCGTACCAGCGATGTGTCTTTTTGGTAGAACTTCTCAGTTAAACGTTACTGACAAGATATACTGTATAGCACTTTATTTTCAGAAGAGATAACTGTTCGCGTTAATTTGCAAGATGACTAATTTACTTATTTAAACGTTTCACGAATAATAATTCCATATTATAAAGTACCATCATTTTTTTTAAAAAACATCTTTTCCATCGCGAACCCATGCATTAACGAATAAAACAAACAGGCAAAGTTCGCGAAATAAAGTACACGCGAAAATAAATTGGTGTACAGTATATATAAATTATGATTGTAGGTACTCTCCTATTAACAGTATAACAGGCAGGTTTTCTGGAGTTTTACCAAAATCAAGATGTAAAGACAGTATCGGGTCCAAAATTCCTGTTTAAGATACATTCGGTCACATGATAAGCATACCAGTTCTACAAAGAAGCACTACCAGCTAGTCGCCAAGGTTACTACTTATATATACAGATAAACGTCTAGGATACGGTCTATATACAGGAATCTACACAAAATATGTACACACAATGGAAAATCAAAGAGTTACTATGTACAAAAGTCGGCAACAAGGAAAAAGAACAAGATTTGAGATCATTTGGAAAACCTTCGAAATGTTTTTCTTTACATTTTATGGCATAATGCCACACACTTACACACGTATACATAGACACTACTGTTAATCTACAATGGTGACCTCGGGGGGTGACCTCGGGGTAGCTCTAAGTCACACTCTAACCTACAGATACCTTGTGTTAGTTTAACGCGATCAAGTTAGGTCCCATATTGAGAAGGAGACTAGGGGACGGCTCACCGCGTTTATAGAACCTAGTAGAGAGTTTGTTATCAGATTGATATCAATGTACTATATTCATTATCAAAATAACTCGGAAAATAATATCCGCTGATATGAAAGCGTGCGATAATTTAGAAATATACTGATGAAAAATACTTATAATGACGATTTTTTTTGTTAAGTCAACAAAATGTGCTGCATAGGTGGTTTGTTTGAATGAAATTTGATAAACACATTCCCAGCCACGGATACAATATCTTCATTACTAACGAGGTATTTGTTTCTGGTATATATAATACAAACATCGTGTACAGTACCCTGCTTAAACATCGGACACGTGCGACCACGGAACATTGTGCGTGTAAAATCAGAAAATGCTAACATTGTCAGAAAAATAACCACAATTTGCTCAAAAAAGATCACCTGAAGAAATTATAGAATAATGCTTTAAACGAGCACTTAGTGTTATGTATGTTTTACACGTGCCAATAACAAACATGTAATGCCCACACTAGCGGTAGTGTTGTTAAACATATACAAATCCATCTTATGACAGTACAGAGTGGTGTGGAGATGGTGTTTCTATCAGTGGAACGAGATAGGAGTAGTGATGTCATACCGGAAATGTGTATTTCAATTTGGCAATAATTACAGATGAAGTGGCGATAATGTGACCAGATCCACACACTTTATAGAGACAAACCATGGAAATGTGGACATTATCCTCAACAGTCAAATGTATAATCGATTAATATGTGGCGGAAATGCCCGAACAATGAGTAATAACTCTAGCTAATGAACACCTTAGGTTTTCCCGCCGACTGTTTCCGTTGCCGGATGCAGTGGCTGAGATATCAAATAAGTACTTTGCACCAAAAGTAAGATAATGGTCACGGCCGTCTCTTTAGCACTTAGGAATTATCAAAACAAAATAACATAATACGTTCAGTCAAAAAATAAAATGAGATCTTCCTACAATGGGCTTGGCCCCAGTATGAGCAATTGACATAAAGGACTTAGTTGGAGTGTTTTGTAGAGTTTCCAGCTTTCACATGTGTTTTTTACGTGCCTATCAACTACGTCAAAATATAGCGCGGCTCTCAATCTTGTAAGAGTTCGAGAGAAAAGATTGGTCCGATCTATCATTTATTCTCATCGTCGCTCTTGTATGTGAAGAGACAGAGAATCGTTGAATTGTAAAACACACTTTCTCTCTAACATTGGACAAACCACAATAGACATATCACAACCTGTCCGCTCTCATAAGGTGTCTGCTCTACACCCATAGCACCACATAGGACAGTTCAACTCGGGGGCTGGCTGCCCATGTAAACAATGTCTTTCAAATGTCATTCGGAAAGCCAACGTTGATGAGATCCTCATGTTAAAACACCATTCGGAATACTTCCTTACTGGCTTGATTGTCAAGGAAAAGTTCTGATTTTTGAAATGTCATACTTTGTTTTCCACCGTGTGGAAGACCATGGCGGGTTCCGAAGAGACAAGCACGAGGTTGTGACGGACTATGTATAAGGCAAGACCTGACGTCAAAAGTCTTTCTGGAAGTAGCCAGGATCCGCTGATGACGAGGCTCTCCTGCGTTGGCGGTCTGGCTCTATATTTACAGGACTAGAGAAAATGGTCCGGAGCTGCTCCCACCAGTTCTGGAAATTGAACGCTGTTGTTCCGGGAAAGGATGCCGCCTGACGCATCACAACGCCGTTCTGAAATAGTAATGGAAACATTTGGTTCACACATATGAATTGGAACATGCCATACATAAGAATGTTCGATCACATGATCAGAAGACTAAGTGTAGAGCTTTTAAATGGAGAAGTCTAGTTTGTATTGCCCGTATAAAATTCGCTTTGCTTGCTAAGGGGCTGCGTGTATATATGACCTTATAAAGATTTAACGTTATTTTGATAAGACGCGTGTCTTCATGTCCTTCGTACTTGTATATATGCCCACTAATAATAACATTGGTAACGCGATATCTCTCCTGTCGACAAAACAAGCTTTCAACAAGTGCCACAATAGCAGCCACTGGGGTGTCCAGGGCTGGTAGGGACACCTGTGTGTGTACGTATTAAAAATTCGGAGAGGTGAAGAAAGGTTGTGAACAAAGCCGTCCAGGGGGGACTGAACAAGGGAACATGTGTAGTCCCTGTCACACTGGAGAATCGATAGGTTGATGCTTATCCAGCTATTTAAGGCCTACTGCCGCCAGCAAGTTTCCAAACCGGAAAGAAAGTATGACTCATCGTCTCTAGACTAATGATAATATAATGGCCCAGTTAGGGGTAATACAAGTTGACAGGTTTTCGCACTTGTACATGTATATATATACATGTATATAGGTAACATGCTCTAACTTATCGATAACGTTGTCGACAATATTGCAAGTTTTAATTTCATAACCAAATTTGCATAGTAGATTTGAAAGATAAAATTATGCTAAACTCAAACGTTTTTAATTTCGATATTATTGTTTCGCACCTTGCTGTCCTGATCATAAGGTTCAATGTTGCATATATTTCTTTTGAAGATACCCCCTACACATCTATTATGCTAACTATCAAGAACTTTAAACTGAAAATGGATGGCTGTTAAAATCTATTGATTTTTGGTGGTTTTTACGGGATACACCTGACTGTCCAAGTAAAAGATTACTTATAATTAGAAAATAGACATTTATAAATGGAAATAGGTGAATCAGCAGCGTGTACACGGATCCGGACGGTTATGAGTGATAAAATATTGATTGATGAGCGTGACAAACGATTGATTAGGAAAGTCCGTTTAAGGATTCAGACAGGACTGATGCACGGTTGGGAAGCCCAGGTATCGACCTGTACAGGTGTCATACGCTCCAGATGCTGAACGGGAACGGAGCACTAGATGAACCCGCGTCAACGGTCAGGGCCGATCAGTACGTGTCGTAAACAACTTCACACCAACACGTAATGCAGCATTCTGCACGATTTGTGAAAGTTTATCGATATGGACTCGTTAAACAAGATAAACATGCGTGTGGGAATTCGCACGAGACTTATATTGAATAATATAAGAAATAACATGAACTTCATTGCCGCTGTAAATGCTTATTTTGAATCATGTTTTTTATGGTCTTCTTACATGTTTGCAGTAACCTTCCGGTAAATGCTACAAAGTCGTGTTCTTATTTACAAAACAGGAAAGTGGGTGTTAACTATCCTCCGCGTACAGTCACGTGCAGTATACAATGTATGTACAGTTAGATATAAACATACAATGTGTAACAACAAATGAGAAACAGTACATTTGAAATCTATACTTAACCGAAATTGAAATCAATATTGATGAAATTGATGAGTAACGTCACTGATGTCAGTGTCAATTTCTTTCTGTCACACGTGTCTAAGGATCCGGGTTATAAACTTTGTAATCTTTTTTTCAATAAAAAAGTTTGGAAGTGCACGCGTCTTTGTCGGAGTTTAAGATTAAAGTACAGCAAGAGACACGGTCTGCATAACCATGCATGGTTTATGTAAGAGTTTGGCAGTGAGCCAGCGGAGTACTACACCACACATGTACATACAGTAACGACAACAACGTAGTAACCCTGTGACCTATATCTGTCAAATAGCCCTCTCGCGACGCGTGCTCAGTTTTTATTTACATCACGTGACATTCACTTTAAAACTTTTGAAGATAAAGAACCGTGGGTGAAATCTAGGACGGCTAAAGAGCAGACAAACTAGAAGGAAACTGCCTTAAAATTAGGTATAATTGTAGCAACAAATTATTCGTGGATTTTAATCTTTTAAAAAGGGTTGTGTAAAAGATGGTTGTATTTGTTTATAGCCCCGTGGTTCTAGAATATGAGAAAGTATTATCAGCTTAAGCAGAGTTATATAACACTATTTGACCAAGACAAAATCGATATAAAGATATTCCGATATTTTTCAACTGCGGCACCTCAAACCTGATACCAACGTACTTCCTTTCCAACAAATGTTAAACCTTTTTTTTCGTCCTCGTTATTTTATTTCATTTTTTTTCTCCATTAAAACCTTACGAAAATTATTTGCTTTTCATTTTCGGTTGTCCAATATTGTATCCAAATTTACGACTTGTCTTAATCACAGATTCATCAAGACATCCAGTTAAAATGACTACTCAACTGATATAGAAATAAATTAGATACTTCAAATACGTTAGAAAAACTACATTGTGTCGACAAAACTTCTGTCTCTAACAATTATAAAAATACTTATTGTCACTCAGCTTTAGTTACATGTACAGGAATCCTGCTTGCCCGGGATGGAGATCCGTTGGACATGACGAACGTGAGAAAAGCAGTGTTACAATACCGGTATGTTATTTATTGGCTGTACAGGAGGAATACATTCTTCTCCCGTACATATTTAAAATTCAATTAATTTCCACCCAAACAAATGTTGAAAAAGAAATAGCTAAGTTATAACTTGTGTGTGCTCGTTTTCATAGAGTTAGATAGTGTTATCCTGTAAGCGGGGAAAACCTCATAAAATGGTTAAACACTTGTGTCCATTTAAAAACTATTTGCATACTTTCCTTCCAACGCCAACAAACTGTACGGATAGTGATACGTTTATGAACTTACCCTTCTGACTCGGAGTGGGGCACTAGCTAGCTCGAAGTGGAACTCGTCGCCTATCCGTCTGAGTTCCCGACCCACGTCAAGCCGCTGTTGGTGGTGTACGTCTGGGAGTGATATCGACCTATCCCGGGGGACGGGGACGATATCGGGTAGATCCCTCCCGTGGGTGGGAGAATCTGAACCATCACCGTCAGAGTGATATCTCAACCGCGTATAGGCAGTACCTACAGAGGAAACAATGCCATTTCTATTTTAATTTGTTCAATCACACACACAAATAAATTCTCAATTTTGTAATAGAAGTCTAGACAAACGGACACGTGTATAGAGACAAATTCCCGCCTAAACAGCATTTCAACATTTTAATAGATATCAATATAATTGTTTACTTGTTTACTTGCATTGTCAAACGTAAGAGTGTATAATACAAGTGCACTGAAATGACCTTACGTTGGTTCATAAAATGTTTGTAGTGTCGGGCGACTTAGAAAACAAATACTCTTGTAAACATAATGACATAATGGGTTATAAAAATACCGCAATAGTTTCCTACTCACTCTCTAGTGTGTATACAAGTTCATCAGAAAACGTGTACCGTCTGATTGGAGTCACTTTTCTGCACTTCCTCAATAAGATTATATGATTTAAATTACAATATTTCTATCGATCAATATTTTACTTTAAGCACATTAGTAACACATGGGTAAAATACCTGACTATCTGAACAAGGTTTCAAATCAGATCACCGCGTGAAGCGAGTTTCATGCGGAGAAGACATAAATGAGAAATGTAAACAAACCGTTTCAAACGACAACACACTTAAGTTGATTTCCGGATTTGTCAGTTTACTGCGAGTCTACTACGCAGTTCTGACGTACAATATGATAAGTTTAAGTACACACACAACTGTACTGGTCGAGAATGAGGTTCAGTGAAACCGGAAATCATATCTGTTACGGGGTCACTTGAAAACCAAGTAGTATACACTTAACTTAATCCGTTATCTCGGAACACATCTATTGTTTTTTGTTCTAATTATACAATGATGAAATCAGCTTCACAAATACATTTATCGCTTAAATACCGTGTAATTTAAAGGTATAAAATATAATAAAATAAAACGGCATAATGAACGCTACAATAAAAACAGTGCGCATAGTGTATGCTCCTTGTGCCTAATTTAAATGTCATTTGAAAAAAACAGACAATTGTGAGATTACAACTGGCGGGCTGCACATGCAGTGTGAGCTATAATCTATAAAGAGGTAAATCGGGCCCACTCTATAGTAACATGTATGTTACGTGTAGACATGTGCTCGTACACTGGAATCGGCATGAATTCGACATGCACGGATTACACAAGGCAATACACAACACAGCTGTACGTGCGCTACGTAGAAGTATTTTCAGTGCTGATGCAACGTTACATTGTTATTGTTCAGTGCCACGATCCGCGCTATATATAGCACTAAATCGCGCGATAGTTTATCCTTGTTATGGCCCACTTTTGATAGCTTTTCAGTATTATTATCTGTCCTGTACAATCTACCTGTCAATGTGTATATACATCAATCTCAAAGGATCATGATTTACCGCAAATAAACAATTATAACTGTGCTTTTAGAAAGGAAATAAGTTTGTTACTTAAACATGACACAGGTACAGATTGGGTATAGACGACGTATTTAAATAAATCTAATTACATATTATTGATCTGTCTCAATTTCTTGTCGACAGAAATAATGATACCAGATTTTTTGTTAAGTATTAAATGTTACGCAGAGGTGATCTAATAAGTGTGATGCTTGTGTGTGACCATGTGTGAAACATCACGGTACACTTTAAATCGGGGCGAATATGATAATAAATATAATATTGCTTTTATTCATTTGAAATATCGCGACAATTACCTTGCAGTGATTTTGTACTTGATAATGTGAGAACGGTTCGACAATTTTGGTAAACATGAACGTTACAAACTCACCGAGAAATTCAATTATACATTGTACAGACTAAAACTTAAACAAATACAATAAAGTAAGTAATGTATGGCTACTTCAAACATATCACATGTATACGAGGTTGTCCGAATTATTCTGACGTTTTATCAACTTTTTTCATATCGGTCTGACGACAGACCGATATGAAAAAAGTTGATAAAACGTCAGAATAATTCGGATTAGTATACGAGGTAGCTAGATATTTTGTGTTCATCAATTCTTAGAGAAATCAAATAAAACTAAGAAAGGAAAGAAGAAAACTTGCGTCCGTCATTTGTGAATCACATACATTTGAAGTAAATCAAACAAGTCCAATTTTGGTGTTGATATTTAACATTATTCCTACAACAACCACAAGGGTAGGTTTGCTGGAGAGGCAGCACCTGGAAGTCTATCTACGTCTTACACAGGTGGATGAAGATCATAGGTGTTGGGCGATCGATCAGTGTCGCGTGCTCGGACAGTTGACATATTGACAGCTCTCCGTTAACGGTGCTCCGTAACTCTCGGCCCGGAAAACGGCAACCGGGTCGTAAATTAATTTCCACTAAGGAAGTGGTGATATAATGACTATATATACAAGCGCGTACTCAAAACTTAACACGCCTTTTCGACATTTTCAAGAGTGCGATTTTTTTTTTGTCAGTTTTTGCTTTAGATATTAATGAGGAAAATAAACTAATTATTAACCAATTGTTCACGCCGTTCTTAATGATATTTTTGTATGATGGTATTTGTATAGAATAAATAGATATTTTACAAAAGAAGATTTGTTTATTTGTAGAATTGTATGATGATATTTTCGAAGATGAAGTTTTTGTAGAAGGGTAGTTGTTTTGGTAGATATTGTTTTGGTTTGATTTTAAAATAAAATACGTGCGATGGTCGAGTCGCGATCACATTTCGGGAAAGAAATACGTGTCTTTACAATCAATATGCGACATGTTTGATACGTACGTAATTATAATATCTGATGTCGTGATACGATTTATATTCCTGTAAGAAATATTAAAATATCCGATAAAACAGAGAATGTTTACTTGGCCGCTTCCGTAGTTTCAGCTTTACAGCGATGTATCCTTGTCTCAACACTTGCTATATCTAAACCCCTGGTTTGTCATGTATCCTTGTCTCAACACTTGCTATATCTAAACCCCTGGTTTGTCAAATAATCCCGAAATAGAATACGTATATTCATTATATTAAATCTAATTTAATTTTAATAACCATACCTACGATTGATCATATAATAAACTTGTTGCACATTGTTCATATTAAAAAAAAGTGCACAGGGTTATTTACAAATGCTGAAAACACGGGGTAAATTATTGAAATAGCAATAATATTTTCACTTGTAATTTACTTTATTTAAAACAATGTTGGAAAACTAGATATTGGAATATAGTAGTGGCTTCCTACATACTGTACACGACATTTGTTGGCGTACACGGGCGGAGTAAAACACATGTTCTAATCGAAGAACACAACTTGTTACTAAAATTAAAACGGAAATAAATCGGCGTAAACGTTTCCCCTATCGGAACCAGAGGTTTGTTTTAGTGTCCGATTTCTAAATACCTACTGGTTACTTCTGACCTACTAAACGGACTTCACGAATTATAGAACAGTTGGGTACTTACTAATGCGTTATTTTGTTCGCGTACGGAGATCGTTTTACTTATTTTTCTCTTTTATATTTCGAGGTGATTAGGAAACGTTTGCTTTAGTGGGTTGTGAGTACAAGGACACACGGGAGTAAACACTACGTACAGTTAGGGAAATAAATATATCTAAATTTGGTGACGTTAGAAATGTATGGTTATATACATTATCATTGTAATCTCCAAGTAATATTCATTACCTGATTTAATATTCCCTCGAAACAGAAACATATATAATTCGGGTTTTCTTATCAATCAATTTTGCTGATAAAAACTCGTTTCGTTTGGTTAAAAAAGGTCCGGAAAATACCAGAAATAAAGAGAACGGGGGAAAATCATTCTTGCTATTTATATTATATATTTTCTCTCTCTTTTTTTCTTCAGAATTTTACTTTGGAAAAACAAATTAATTGTGAGAAACAAGTTAAATTATAACTGTAAAATAAATAAATTTAGAAATGTATTTTTCTTATATTTTTTCTTCTTCGGAATTTTATTTTGGAATAATTTATTAATTCTGACAAACAAGTTAGATTATGACAATAACTTTTCTTTATCTTTTCTTTCCACGTTAGAATTTTGATGGCCAATTTCATTTTGTGGTCTCCTATAACTAAAAATGCATTCGAACATAACATACTTTGCTTTCCTCACTTAACCCTTGTTTTTAAATCTTTGTTGTTTTTGTTCCCGTAGCGTTTTTATCTCAATGCTTTAAAGCAGAGTTTTCTAAAATAATGTAGCAAGTAACTCTAAATAAAAATGGAAACCAGTCTTAATTTAAAAAAGTTAAGAATCAGCGTGACTTTATTAAAGTAACTTATTATCATATAAGTAAACAACTGTTGGATACGAGCATAAGGAACTAAATAATTGGACGTATTGGGCACATGTGAGACTTACATTTATTAAGAGTAAATTATAGTTATTATTCAACACACAATTACGAATATTTTCGTTGCAGGTAAATAATAAATAAATAAACAAAAGTAAGGTCTATGAATCGTTCATGATAAAAAAAAATCATGCTAAAATATTACAAAACTTTGTCGTTAGATGATAATCTGTTCCATGGGAACTGTTTGTTGTTGTAAATATCGGACTAAGTAATAGCGGCGATGTTAGCTACAGTAGTACTCGGGAAATCGTGTATTATGACTCACAAGCATAGAGTCTGTTTCCTGATCCACTACTTAACGGGCCACCAGGCTAACCTAATTATAAATCAAACAAAAATAAAACATGATAATTAATTCACACCTGCATGAATACCGTGCGTTCGATGTTATATAGAACATATATATATGTTATATAATTTCACTTTTACGAATTTATTCTGGTTTAATAAAACTAAAATCGAAGTTTACTATGACCAGAGACGTAATATAGATACGTCTCTGCTATGACTAAAACACATGACGAAATTTCACTGAACCGAGAAACCGCAGATTTTTTTTTCGAGACTGATTGACTCATCTATTTTGGTAATTTCCATGGAGGCAACGACCCGAGCAGTGCGGCCTGGTACTAAGCCTGATCCGATAGCTGGTCTGACTTTCTAATCCTAATCCCCCGAATCTGTTATCCTAATGCCAATATCTGTTACCCGCAATGTCGCTATGTGACGAGGGGCCACAAGTCAAGTACCCTAAGTGTTTACGCGCCATTGTTTTCCTTCGCGACTCCCAGTTAAGTTAATCATCTCACAGACTCTTTAGTCCAATTGTTTCATCAAGATCAAATAAATCGCGACTATATAACATCATTATTATACAGGTGATGATGTTACATTGCCATGTGTACGTAAAACAATGTTTTATTAGTGTATTATTACTACAGCATCGTACACCTATTTTACAATATGAATGACATAGTGCTGACAAAAACAATGTGCGGTTGTAAAATGAACTAGGTTTTTTTCTAATGTTGCCCAATAAATTACTTTCTCGTACGCACCAGTGTAAGGTGGACAACCGCAGACATCTGGAATTGGAGTTACCTCCCATTGTGCAATTAGTCATCTTCCACATTCCTGTGTATACTACTGCAGCTGATCGCAATAGAACTAGTAAACAATCAAATAATCTTATTTTTACGAGAGAAAAAATCCCTCTCATTGATAAGAAAGGACCCCGCTGACCATTTAACTACCGAGACGTAAAAGATTTTTCACGTTGACAACTGTTAATCAAAACATATATATAAATACACTGAAAGGTGAGAGTAGGTATAATGAGGTAACAGTGTTACAGTAAGGCTAGCTGTATTGTAGTAGGTGTAATACATAGTAAACTTACCTCTGGCTATAGGCGGTTGGTGGTAGGGATGGAATCTGTCCGACATAAAGTTTATAGTTTCCGTGATGGCCTGGCCATGCAGGCTAGGGGTTTGAGTCCCCACCGTCCGCCCGTGTATAGGCCTAAAGTGATGGGCGTGGTTCCTAAACCTCCTCCTAGTGAACATATCACAAACGTTAGAAGCATTTTCAAAAACGTCATCGTCGTCCTGTTCCTCAGTTGGGCCCGTGTCTAACATATCCCGGGGAAGGGGAGCCCGAGGACGGTGTATGGGGATAGGCTTCGATGCCCTTCCCATCGCCGAGGGGCTGTTCAACACCATCTCTACTTCCTCATCCTCATCAACCGACGGGTGCAGGGCGTGTACCCCTCTCGATCCATCACCCGCATCAGTATCAAACGTGAAATAAGGTACATTACTCCCAAAGTTAGCTGGCGAATTATCTGTCACATATCCACTGTCACGCTTTTCTGACCTCGACGACGCAGAATGTTTCAATCCCCTGGACACAGATTTAAATGCTGATAAAGATTTGTCCTCCTTATCCTGATCTATATCCAGCTTGTTACCTTTGGAATACTCTTGCATCCTCTCCGGTGGATTTAAACCATTGCCAAGGTGTGTACTGCTTCCGTGTAATAACGCCTGTCGGTATAAACGTCTCGATTATATATTATACACATACTTCATTGTACACTAAATAACCACGTGTTGTTATCTGGTGTATTATCGTAATCTTCAGTCTAAATAAAAACCTTAGGTCACTGTCCCACCACTAACTATAGCCTGCTCACATAATTGACATTTGTGTACGAGCTAGATTTAAACCGACGCTCTAAATCTAAATGAGACAAAGCTGGAATACAGCCAACTCTTTTTTGTGAAATTCATAGTCTGAAATTATCAGAAGAAAAAAAACTTTGAAGATTAAAACGAAGACAAAAAATATTTCAGAGGTCCAAAATCAACATCATACTACAGATTATTGTGGCGTAATGGCCTATAGCTGAGAAATATGAGAAGAGTATTTCATGTAATGATACCGCCGAAAATTAACTCTAAGTTCTCGTTTCACTAAATAAACAAAGTTTGTTTTACTCTCTTTTATCAAAACAGTAACTCGAGATGTCTTGTAATGTAATTTGTACAATATTAGTGATAACGAGAAAATTATCCTTCCTTACCTGTCAAAAGTTCTGTCAGTATGGAAACTCCCGCAAAATTTTTACTATATCTTACGCTGGGAGCATGGCATACGCATGCCTGTTTGTTTACAAACGTTGCGTCATTTTCCATATATGGTCACAACCAATCATTTTCTTCGGGAAGATAATTACAAGTTCAGACATGTCTTTGAAGGTTCCTTTTGCTTGGCTGCTATTGGTCAATGCCTCGCGTGCTTACCAGCTTGAATGACATAAGGGGGGCGGAGTCAGAAGGGCAAGTCTGCGATCCAATCATACATCTCGGTGTAAGTTGTCGGAATTAGCCGAACTTTTGTTCCGGTACAAATCTCGATCATAACGGTACATTGCGAGATTTTAACAACAATGACAAATGGCGGGCGATTCGTCTGTCGGTTTTGAAAGGAAAGACGAGTTCATGTAAGAGCAGTGTCTTTGAGGTTGACTGTAAACTGACAGAAAACATGGACAAATGCTCAGCTTTTGGAAAAGAAATATGGTACGAATTGATGATATTAACGATCTGTTACCATGCAATATGCTATTCTATGTAGCGTATCTTGTTGTGATCCAATACGACCCCATTCACTTTTAGGATCACTGTTCTTCTGCACGTCGATATAGGTATTTTAATATATATTTAACTGTAAGTTCATAAACCCCGCACCCACCAAAATTCCCCTGAAAACATGTATTGACATCATTTATTCATGCACCTGTATGAAACGCACAGAAGGAAGAGTTAGACTCCTTAACAAACAGACTACTGTATCGTTTTGTAAAATATCATTAAAACTAAGCTTATTTTGTTATTGACAAAAACAAGCATTGGGCTATATCATATGGGAAATATCATTTGATGGGGATTTGATATATAGTCAAATTGAGAGAGTCTGAGCAGGAGATCACCTAGTGGTCGAATGAATAAGAGAAGAGTTAACCTGTTAACAGTAATCTGCTTAATGTTGTTTATCAAAAATCATTAGTCTTTAATTTTACCTGGAAGCCAGTTTGCAACCACTTGAGCGAAGGGTTGTGGGTTCGAGTCATGTCACAGCACAATGTTGTATCTTTGAACAAGATAATTACTCTGCTTGTTCCTGTCTACTCAGCTGTAATTAGGGATGTGATTGGGCAATGCTAGAATTGTTGAATGCTAGCTGTGAGCGCAGAAATGGCAGCACCAGCGGGTCACCCTAATGAGTATCCTCGGAGTAATGAGTGTCCTCAGAGTTTTTTGCGTGCCCGAGAGTTGGTTATTATATTTTTTTCACTTTTTTCTTCTGATTCTTAAATATTGTTCACTTATCTAGGTGTGTGCAAAATTTAAGTTCGATCGTAACAGTACAAAGTACCGAAATATGTCGATAAATATGCCTATTATGGAAGAATGAGTGTCCTGGGAGGTTTTTGCGCGCCCGAGAATTTGTTATTACACCTTTTTCATTTATTTATTCTGATTCATAAATATTGTTCACTTACCTAGGTGTGTGCAAAATTTCAAGTCGGTCATAACAGTAAAAAGTACCGAAATACATCAATAAATACTATTTTCAGGAGGGTGGATTGAGTGTCCACAGAGGAATGAGTGTCCAGGGAGGTTTTCGCGCCCCCGAGAATTCGTTAATCAATATTTTTTACTTCTGTCTTCGGAATCATAAAAATATTCCATTTACCAAACTGTGTGCAAAATATCAGGTCGATCATAACAGTAGAATGTACCGAAATATAAGAAATATTCTGATAAAAATATGCGAACTATTTCACAACAGGCATTACTTAAGGGAAGTAACTCTAATCTAATAACAAACTCTCTGGCGCGCAAAAACTTCCGAGGACACTCGGAGGACACTCATTACTCTGAGGACACTCATTAGGGTGACCGGCACCAGCTTCCCGGGAAGTTCAGAAATATATTGGCTGGTTGCAAAGGCCCTATAACCAAATAGTTTGTAAACCGCTTTGAGATGAAATAGGTTGTGATAAAGCGGTATATAAGAACCTCAAATTATTATTATTACTTCATGTTTTTGTTAAGAAGACAATATTGAGTTGTGGCATATGAAAATTGTACCAAAAATATTCTAACTTTTCCAGGCATATTTCTATTGTTTTCTTATGGAATAAAAAGGTAATATTCAAAAAGCTACTCTATATATATTCAATATGTGAACTTGTTTTTCCCTCATTTTCTCTAATACCGTTGCTAGGGCAGATATGATTCGTTGGAACATATACTGTGATATTTTTTTGTGTATTGGATTGCTTTGTTTTCTTTGACTATCAATACTGGAATCAATTTCTTATTTAACTCTAAAAAAGTAAACTTATTGTTTTGGAATCCTTCAATAAAGATGTTAACAGTGCAGTCATACCCAAAAATACTAAAAATCATGCAAACATTTATTTGCACTATTTAACACTTTGACAAACCTTTGTTCAAACATCATGAAGATGACATTTTAATCATAGGAAGTACCACAATATCTATTATACTAGTCAACAATAATGTGAGCCTGTGCGTTTACTTTCACTTACCTAAAACTGACGATGTCTACAAACTTATGGTGTACATATATATATATATATATATATGTGCACACGGCTTTGCGTAAAATGTCAGTGCTGAGAAACAGGTAGAGCACAGAAACAGATCCTCAGATGTAATGAAATTTACAGAGGTGAGCAATTCTACTAGCCTGATGCCTGGACCTTGTAGATTTATGTTGGGGTTAAAGAAAATTTAACTTTCAATACTTTATATGAAAATTTTAGGTGAGGAATGTTCAAAATCTGCATGCATGTTATTGCTTCAAACATAAAGTTGTACACTCCTGAAGTGGGTTCATCAAATGTCACCTCATTTAGATCCATAATATGTATATGTAGATCATTATTAATTAGTATAAGGTCTGACCATTTTATAATTTCCACTTCTGTGGTTTCATATCTACATTGAAAATTGTTCATGTACATGTCATGACATCTTGTTATACTCCGAATGCTTTGCTTGCAGCCATAAGGGACAGCATATTCCTCTGGATCCACCCATAGTACACATGTCTGTGTATACCAAAGGGGGCCTCCAAAGACTGTTTCGGCAGATAGCTCACCCAGAAAAAGTGAGCTTTCCTATGTATGGTATGTTTCCTTACGCTGTTGTTGATGTATTAAAGATACCTGCTCTACCATGGGCATCCCCCTCCCTAGTGATTTAAAAATAATAATTTACTAAAGTTGTCTGGTTGGTTTTGTAAGTAAGACCACTTCAGTCATCAACATTGTTCTCTATTAGTTCATATAAAATGAAATCTGCCATTAAACATTATCTGCTGATATAAAGTGATCATTCATGTCTTTCAAAATGATAAACCTTTTACAGGATTAGACACCGACTATTTTGGCCTGGTAGTCAACAGGACTAGTTGATTAGAATACTAGTTAGTCCTACATCAATGTGACTATACCAGATAGATCAAAATTTCCGTAAAGAACTATCTCCAGCATAATCTTTAAAAGTAATTAACTGAGGGGGACACAAAAAAACTATAACCAGGAAGATAAATAACTGATTAAATGAAGTTTTAGGAAAATTTTAAGAACTGGCGTGCAGTATATCTGTATTTTAAGCAGGAATATATTCTTATTCATGATTTATCTATCAAATGATATAGTGATAACATATTTGTTCAGAGAACCGTCCTTGCTGAAATTCACTTGTCTCTGACTAGATGGCTAGTGTAAGTGCAAACTCTGCACTTAAAATAAATTGTGGGGAATTCAACTGGGTACATGTATGGGGATCGAGACATTTATGTCTGTCACAGTGAGTGAAAATACGACTTCTGTTGTTTGAAAAAACAAAGTGAAAAGGGTATTGGGGAATATAGTTGCATTAGTTTTACAATAAAAAAACAATGTAGAAATTGCCTACAAAGATATAAACAAAAAAAGGGATGTAAAATACAGTGATTGGTCGAAGTCAAGGGAGTTCACTGGACTACATGCCTTTGAAGAAAGAGCAAGTTTCCAATCCCCCTAATAAAATGCCTTCAGTATTTTCAAAAGTGTCTAGAAAATAACATCTTACTGCATTTCAGTTAATTTGTGTATGATGTCAACACCCATTTGATTTCAGAATATGGTCAATTCACAGACGAGTCTGGCCACTTTTGCCCTGTACTGGGTGTGGTAATGGCCTCGCGATACAGAGTGAGACAAGTGATCAGTCGACAGGGTCAGTCAGCCATCCTACTGCTAGCTGAGGTATTGTTTACAATATTAATATACATGTACTAAACAACTGATTTCTAGAATTCTATATGTGACCATCTATGCAGCATTGTCAGATTGTGTTATTTTCTAGACTTCTTTAAAACAGATAACTTTCTGAATACATAACGTAATACATAAATACACAAGCAGCTATACATAGCGTTATACATAAATACACAAGCAGCTATACATAGCGTAATACATAAATACACAAGCAGCGATACATAGCGTTAATACACAAGCAGCTATACATAGCGTAATACATAAATACACAAGCAGCTATACATAGCGTAATACATAAATACACAAGCAGCTATACATAGCTAGTGTAATACATAAATACACAAGCAGCTATACATAGCACAATACATAAATACACAAGCAGCTATACATAGCGTAATACATAAATACACAAGCAGCTACACATAGCGTAATACATAAATACACAAGCAGCTATACATAGTGTAATACATAAATACACAAGCAGCTATACATAGCGTAATACATAAATACACAAGCAGCTATGCATAGCGTAATACATAAATAGTATTAAGTACACAAGCAGCTTTTATCTACAGAGAAATGCTAAAATATAAATTTATTTGAATCAAACTTTGTCAGGTTTATATGTAACACATTATCTATATATTGCTACACCTCTATGATAAAAGGATTACATAACTGCCGACTGATTTCCTGAATTTATTGAGTTACCTCCCCTTCAGAGTCATAGTATTATTTTAGGCATACAGGTAAACATTACAAAACAAGCATTCAAGTTCTATATTTTCGTTATGATGATGGTAATATTATTTTTTACATATACCCTGACAAATCTGTTATAATTTCATTCTCGTACAGTTACTCTTATTTATACTGTTGTAAGAGAAATATGGTTCATGTTATTTAAATCAGATGATGCATTTGATTCCAAGTGGAGAAAATGTACTAATGGTCTGGAATACTATCACTGTATAGGTACCTATATGTAATTTTACCCGTTATACCATATACTGATTTGATCCATTATTTTTTGTTTGACATTTAGATGTTAGCAAAAACATTGTATAAGGAAAAATCAGCACTGGTATTGGAATAGCATTTGAATAGTAGATAAATGCCAGTAGTTATTAACTGCACATAATTGATTCTTGTGTACAAGGTTAAACCTTTTAATATAAAACATGTATTTTGTATTTTGTACTTGACATGTTTCAGGATTTGTTCTGCCATAAGAAACATGTGGTGATCAAGGTTCTGCATGCCAGTCGTTATCAATTAGGTGCCCAGGAGACCCAATGTTTGTGGAGGCTCGCCCTAGCTGATCCCACGGGAAACTCCAATACAGTTCACTACTTGGTAGGTATCTATGTAANCTCATTTATTGGTAGCTTCTTGACATTCATATGTTTCCTTGTAATATATAATTATGTGCAATATACATATGTCCTATTTAATACAACTCATGTGTAGTACATACATGTAGGTGATTGCTTTCTTCATTAATAGAATCTTCCCCTACCTTAAAGATATGACAGAGAAATCTCCAACCAAAGCAATGTTTTCGTTGTCTAACCCTAGGTTCTGCTAATGGTTTGACAACCAATTAATCACCCAGAGGATTGGAGATTTCTCTGTAACACCCTCAAAATAGGGGACCTTTCTCTGCCATTCCAATTCTATGTTGAAAACAATAGTTTTCAGTATTTGTAATCTGTTGTTTTCACAATTTGCATATAACTCATCAAGAGCTGATTGCGACTTCATATCAGTTATCTGATTGTTCCTGACACATAGTATTGTTTCTTTTCTCTTCATATCTGTCCTATCCTAGAGCTCGAGGTTGACAGAGAATCATACCCTTGGTAGTGATAGAGAAATCTAAGTAAAGTTCCTACATTTTTTGGTTCACTTGACCTGAAGTGCCTGCAACCTTGTCCGGTTGAATTTCCAGAGTATTATAATATTAATGTTAACATCATTTCAGGTAGACAGATCATACCTGGTAAATACATATGAATCATGGTCAAGTGGTGTGTCACATACTGAAATGGGGTCACTATCACTTATTTAATCTTTGACCTTGTTTCGCTTCAATTTGATAACTGTGATGGCAGCAACACAATTAGTGTTATCATTAGGAAACACATCACTCGTATTTTTAGATCACCTGGACGGAAGGAACAAGTGAGCTTATGTCGTGGTGGTGGTGCCTCCTTCATTGATCCGTCTTATGTTAACTTTTCTTTAAATGACTTCTAAATAAAAACAAAAGGCCTAACGTTAGTGAAGGCAAATTTGTCACATTAGTAAGGGTTTCAGTTAATAATTTGACCACATACGCATGTAGCAAAATGGCAACGAGCACCAGTACAGAAGAAGATTTGACTGAAATTCCTATAAATAAACATTGTTGTAAAAACGTCTGAATGACGTCACGCAGCAACATTTGTGACGTCTTCAGGCCTTCCAAGGTTTTGCTCAAAGGTGCAGGCAGTTTCACCACCTTCAACATTTCACTTATTTGTAAGTAACGTAAGTCTTTAAAAGCAAAATTTTGTATGTTTATGTTACACAAGTCGTACTGATATGAACAGCTCCAAATGTGTTTGTGTAACAATGATTAACATTGAAATAAATGGCTTTTCTTAGCTGTGATAGTTAATTTTGGATAACTTGAAGAAACTGATTAATACTGTTTGAGTAAGATGGCTGGGATCAACTGAGATAAGGTCAATTTACATGCATCGCAATAAAGACTCAATCCTGAACAAATCTGAACTTTCAAATTGGTGTACATTTTTTTTGCAGTTGAGTCCACTGGGATGAGAGGCTCCGGGGCTTTCAAAGTCTTTCCCCCGCCCCTCCAGACTTTTGGATAATTTGTTACATATAGAATCTATATCTGTGATAGTCTTGCACGTCAACGGAAAACATCTGACTGATCAAAACGTTTTTAGCTCACCTGGCCCAAAGGGCCAAGTGAGCTTATGGCATGGTGCAGCGTCTGGCGGCCATCCGGCGTCAATATCTTACTTTAAACAACTTCTTCTTAATAACCAAAACGCCTAGGGTGATGATATTTGGCCAGAAGCAAACTGGGATGAAGGGCTACAAAGTTTGTTCAAATGAATGGCCTTCATCCATTTTCAAGGTCACAGGGGTCAATTGTCTTAAAAAATCTTTACACAACTTCCTCTGAATAACTAAGAGGCCTAGGATAATGATATTTGGCAAGTAACATGCTGGGATGATGGGCTACCAAGTTTGTTCAAATGAATGACCTTTAATTATATTCAAGGTCACAGTTGGTCAAATATTTTAAAAACCTTTAAACAACTTCTTCTCAATAACCAAAAGGCCTAGGATGATGCTATTTGGCCGGTAGTATGATGTGGTGAAGGGCTACAAAGTTTGTTCAAATGAATGACCTTGACTGATACTCAAGGTCACAGGGGTCAAATATATTTAAAACCTTGAAACAACTTCTTCTGAATAACCAAGAGGCCTAGGATGATGATATTTGGCAAGTAACATGCTGGGATGAATGGCTACCAAGTTTGTTCAAATGAATAACTTTGACAAATATTCAAGGTCACAGGGGTCAAATATGTTAAAAACCTTTAAACAACTTCTTCTCAATAACGAAAAGGCCTAGGATGATTATATTTTGCCAGTAGCATGCTTTGATGAAGGGCTACCAAGTTAATTCAAATAAATGACTGACAAATATTCAAGGTCACAGGGGTCAAACATGTTTGAAACCTTTATACAACTTCTTCTAAATAACTAAGCGGCCAAGGGTTATGATATTTGGCAAGTAACATGCTGGGATGAAGGACTACAAAGTTTTTTCAAATGAAGGACCTTGAAGTATATCTAATGTCAAAGGGGTAAAATATGTTAAAAACATAATTCAAACGACTTCTCAATTTGCAAAATGCCAAGGGTGATGATATTTGGCCATTGTCAGTCTGGGATAAAGGGTTACCAAGTCTGTTAAAATGAATGACCTTCACCCATATTCAAGGTCACAGTGGTCATATGTTTAGATTTTTTAACAGGTTCTCATGAATCAAACACTGATTTTCTGCCTCTAGCTGTTTTAGTCCACGTTTAAGATTACAAGTGTGAGATTAATACCAGGTGAGCGATTCAGGCCCATTGGGCCTCTTGTTTTGGACTTGAAAACTTATTCAAGAAAGACTGCCCCAGGTTTTGTAAATATGTCTACTTTCCGTCCTCGTCCGTCAACTTTTCCTTTAAACAACTTCTTCTGGAGAACGGACAGGCCTAGAGTCATGATATTTGGCTGAAAGCTTCGTTGGTAGGAGCCCTACAAAGTTTGAGAACAAAAATGACCTTGACCTGTTTTCAAGGTCACAGGGGTCAAATATGTCAAAAATTTCAAACAACTTCTTCTAAAGAACTAAAAGGTATAGAATCTTCATATTTGGCTGATGGCTTCCTGGGATAGAGCCCAACAAAGTTTGAGAATGAAAATGCGTTTGACCTACTTTCAAGGTCACAGGGGTCAAATATGTCAAAAATTTCAAACGACTTCTTCTGAAGAATTAAAAGGTATAGAATCTTCATATTTGGCTG